AAAAAAAAAAAAAAAAAAAAAAAAAAAAAAAAAAGAGGAAAGGAAAAGGAAGAGGAAAAAGATAGGCCAAAGACCTACTCTGCGTCTTCGATTCTGCCGCGTCGATCGAGATGGTTTTCCATTTGGCAGCAGCTGATATTTCAGTCAGTCTAGAGTATCGTAAGTATATTCCCTTCAAAGATCACATGTATTCAGAACATATCAAGAATATTCCCATTCCTGTCAGTCTGTTTTCCAGATCTCTCGGAGTAGGGCTAGATTTCTATATACGTGCCCAGGCGAGGCCATTTGATTGGCCAATCCACATTTTCTGTCTAAGCTTAAATCTGCCACTTTCAGACAACAGCACGTGACAAGACAATAAAAAGGGTATCTGGCTGAACTGCTTGGGGAGATGAGAATGCGTTGACGAATTTCTGTCGCGGCTTGGCAGGGACAAGTGCATTACAGATGATGTTGTAGCCGTCACCCAGACGCAGGTATACCATGTGGCCGACATTGAAGTGAATTGGTTTATGCTTCTCATCAAAGCGCCTCGTCATTGCTTCTGCAATTCAACTATACACGTTCCGAGCAATAGGTAGACATATGACATTCCCTTTAAGAAAGGAGAATAGATATAAACAGAAAATGTCTGGCTTAGACTCAACAGAAATGTTCCCCTGCAGACGCTTCAAAACCGCCAGAAAGCAAGGATAGCAAATGAACGTTGTAATTTCTGATCGCTCATAGAGCACCGAGTTCAAGCCGGAAGCCCAAGGACTCCTGGAGAGCCAACTAGTCTATTGTTTTCATCGCGCCTGACTGTCTTCAATTTGATCGAGCTTGAAAGTTCGGGAGTTGAAAGCGTGAGCCCAGCCTGGAAATAATTCTCATCCCATTAGCCAGTGACAGCACCGTAAAGAAGACCGCATAATTCATCATCAGTATTAGTCAGGAACGACCTATAGTCCCCGGACATGCAAATGGGTCTTGTTAAAATGCCGATATGGCGATCTTGCTGCCCCTAATAACAAACTCGTCCGCGGTCAGCTTCTCAAGGTCAACCTCCTGGCCATTGTGGTCGTATCGGATTCTATCCTTCCCCGTCCAATTGCAGGCAGGTCACAAGAGTTCCGTTGCAGACTCCGGCAGTTAGGCCGGTTGTCCGACCGACCTTAAGGTAGTACTGACCCTTTCTAATGTCCCCAAATTCATCTAGATAAGCGCCCTCGGAAGTAGGCGCCGAGTGTGCGTGACATATCTGTTCGGCATCTTAGAGACTGGGACATGTAGCATTTTGTTAGGATGGAAGAATTAACAAACTCGTCCGTTGTCAGCTGACCATTATGGTCGTATCTGATTCTATTCAATGCTGAGTTATTAGTGGATGTGAAAGAGGTGAGGGTGAGAGTGAGACTGAGTTAGGGGTCAGAGCGAGGTAAAGTGAAGTGAGACTAAGGTGAGAGTAAGGCGAGAGTGAGGGGTGACTCACCTGACATTGATATCCAAGGAGGCAGGCCAGAAAGCCTTCCACGTCACTTCCAGATCTAACTCATTTAGATCCAGTCGTTGTTTTGAAGTATTTTTGCTTCCCTAGTATGAGTGGACTATCCAGGAGGCAGGAGCAGATGATGCAAATAGAGCAACGCTTAGGATGCGAAAAAAAGGTCTAGTGATGTGGTTGAGTCAGCTCATAATATTGAGCGTATATAGTATCTATCTTAAGGCTACATAGTGCACATACATACATGTATGTATGTATCGCCCTTCGCGCTCAACTTATACTTACGTAGTATACAAAACCTTGGAAAGGTCAGCTGCTTATACAGCGTTGTTATGTCTGTTTGAGTAGTTATGTGACGTCCACATCCACCCGTGGACCTATCTACATATGTAGTTGTGCTCTCTGATTGGCGGTTACCGGGCAACCGATGTTACCTAGGGACGTCGGGATGCTTGTTTAGTTTGCTAGTCAAAAAATGGATCACAAACTCACTCCCATCCTTCTTGAAGACATAAAAGAGCACCAAATCCCCGTTCTTTATCCACTCATCTGCTCTATTTTCATTTGAGCCAGGTGCTCTGTCTCTATTAGATCATCAAGGACTGCTTTTAGTCGCCCATCACCATGTCGTGCGTTGTGGAATCTCCCGCCTACCGCAAGGTGCGTGCGACGTTGACGAATTTGGCGCGGAAAGTTAACAGCCTTCGAGTTGAGGAATTCGACCTGCAGCAACTAAAAATTCACAATATTCATGTTGACATCACAAACCGTCTTACTTCGCTCCCTATCCAGGCCACTCGGTTCCAGAACCCAACGATGATGACCTTGGGGGAACTTACAACGGTCTAGATGATGAAACGGAACATTCTTTTTGACCCGTCCCACCAATCGCGCATATGTTATGCACATACACGTTTCGTCTTACATTTCTTACTACGATCTAAATGTCAAAGGAGCGAGGGCCCTTGGACTTCAAAATGGTAAGCAATTTACTATTGTAATTCAAGGCTACGATTCACTAACATATATCTAGTGTTGGAGAATCCGCTTTTGAGAACTCAGGCTTGTATAAGCATGACCAGCCCGAGTTCGGGTGCTATCATATCGCAGAGCTGAATGACCCTGCCTACCCACACGTCAAGGCAGTCATGTACAATAACTTGGTTGCCACAGATTCCACAGTCCTTTATGGCGAGTTGATTCCAACCCTCAGGATTATGTTGACACAGCTTCGGAAGCGAAAATTCATGGCATCAAATTGTCTCACGGGTAACTACTACGTCATTCCTGGTCAATTATCTCACTTTCTAGTACTGATACATGTTACAGGTGTTGATCCTCTCCCTTATGGGATTACAAGCCCGAGTAAGTGAAGCCCTTTTCCAGGTTCACAAACTGGTCTTGTGCCCGACCAAGATGTATGATTTCAGTCACGGAAACCACAATGCTTTCAAAACATTTGCCCAGTGGTATATAGGTAAGCCTATTAGGATAACCACCGAGGCTTTCTGATACCCACGCTGGTTTCGAAACTTTTTGTCATCTACGGCCGCCTGAACTTCATTTCTATTGCTCGAGCAGGGAGATACGATATATATAACATATGTGGCGCCATGTCTAACTGTAAAAGGTCCTGAAGATTTTCGTAAGACACTCTCAGAAGAAGACATGTTTCAAATTGATATAACTAAAAGACCAAAGATTTCCTCATGAACGAGCAGGGAAAGGACTAAGAGGGACATCGAGGTGGGGAGTAGTTAGCAGGGAGATTAGATAGCAAAGCAGTTATGTTGCCGTATCATGGAATGAAGCTTGAAGTCAAAAGCTCCAGAGTAAACGGGCCAAGTTAGTCTGTAATCTACTAGGTCGGCCTCGCAAGACAGGTCCTAGCCTCAATCATCGACCTTGAATTTTGAAAATGGCCTCCTGGCGCTCCCTTTCCTTGCTTCCACAACGTGAACACACGATTCGAGGAAGGTATGAAAACCTTGACTAGGATTGTGTTCATAATATTGCCAATTTGTGGAACAAAGACTTCTCAGAGCACATTTATTCTATTCGTTCGGAACGATGGAACGATGCGCTGTTTATAACAATAACAGACCGGGGTTCAGGATATGGTCGGGAATGATGGAGTTGTTCAATAGATTCCCCAAAGAAGCACCCTTAGTTGAGCTCCGAAATATCCATAAAAATATAATCTCATCCTGAGCATATGCATGAAGTATTTGGTACCGCTGCTCGCGATGGAATTTGGACACTTGAATTGATACCAAGGGGAGACAAGCCCGTAATGCTGGATGTGGTGACGTTTGCACTTCTAACTCCAGTAGGTGATCGCAAAGTGCTTCAGTCATAGTCGTTGTGATGCTTGATGGCTGTCCACCTTTAATCGGAGGTGCTCTAACGCTACCAAATAGCTTAATATTGGTTCAAATTCAAGTCACAGCTCAATTTCTGCAGTTCGCTGCCTCTATTATGAATAAGAACAAGCTTTGACTATTCCAAGGGAGGTGCCATTCGATGCTGCTTGGCACAAAGACAGTGGTCCAGGCGATGAACTTCAGCATTCAAACTCCATGGTGTCTAGATCAGCCTTCATCTACGTTCATCCCAGTAGCTAGAACATTAGATGGACTTTTATAATACGGAAACCTGCACAGCCTCTTGGTTGGAAGAGAGGCCAGGACATCTCATAGACCAAGCTAGAATATTTGATTGTTTTCATGAAACTGTGAGACAATGGTAGAAACATAACCTATCTAATGCGCTCGATCTGCCATATTCATGAGGGTCGGGTACTTGGATTGAGCCCTGGCTTCGACCTGGAAACCGGTTCGAAAATAACCATGGGCAAAAGTCGGTTGTCGTGATGGTCCCTAAAGACCCTCATAGTAGATGTCGGAAGTCGAGGACCGTTCAAGCCGCCACCGCCTCTGATTGGCCGAAATTCAACCCCAAACCGTCGACAAGAGAACCCTCCGTTTTCAATCAACACCACAACAATACACAAAGCCGAATATTACTGTCTACTAAGTCGAGTGTCGCACTCCAATTCCGAAAAAAGGAACGGAGCCCCACATCCACGACAACACACAAGACCGACCGACCAGATCCCCTCTTTTTACTCCGCACGCCGCGCACGCTATCATCTCCACTGGGCCCAATACCTCCACGAGCGACACGCCACACCGCCAAAAGAGGGTAACCTGAATCGCCGCATCCTACCGCATCCCCAGAACCAGAGCCGCAAGCATGGCGGGCGACGAGTACTCCGTCGGCGGCGGCAAACTCAAGCTTAAGGGGAGTAAAGTCAGCGGAGGGCGGATAGAGAAGAAAAAGAAGAAGAGCACGAAGAAGAAGGAGGGAGAAGCGACACAGCCAAAATCGGAGTCAACGCCGGATACGGAGCGGCCAGAAGATGAGGGTGTGAGGTCTGGGGAAGACAGAGAGAAGGAGAGGGATGCGCCTGGGAAGACTGAGGCCGAAAAAAGAGCCGAGGAGATTCGGCGGAAACGGGTATGTTATCTCTTTCTTCCTTTCTACCCTTTGTCTTTTCTGTCGGGCCGGGCTCTTTCTACTTCGGCATTGTTGTACGGACTAGAACTGACTTCTCGGGACAGTTGCATGAGCGGCTCCAGCGCGAAGGTGTCAAAACTCATAAGGAACGTGTTGAAGAGTTGAATAAGTATCTGAGTCGGCTGAGTGAACATCATGATATGTATGTCTTACTCTTTATACCTTTGTTCATTTTCTTCGGGCATTGGAGGACTATAAGGGACTATACGCTGACTTGTTATATAGGCCGAAGATTGGACCGGGCTAAATGGGTTCTACGATGTCTCAAATGAGTTTCAGTGCGATCAAACAGTCTTAGTCGAGAAAATACCATATCTGTACTTTTACTTCATGCTTTCTGTTCAACTGTAGTAATGGCTGGCAAGAATCCGCCGTGTTTTAGATATGATCCATAAGCCACCAGATGTACACCAGACGTATGTCCTGTGATAAGGGGCTCAAGATTTCGAAAATATGTATATTTCATCGCTAAAATTACCCAGAAGAGCTCTATTTAGCGGTCCCCGAAAAGAGAAGAGACATGCCCAAAATGCGAGACGGCAACAGTGGCATCAATAGATAAGTGA